AGTTTATATATCCAAATCAAACTTGTCCTCCCCAAAGTACGTGAGAATATGAGTTAGAGGATTTCCACTTCAATCCAAAAAAATTTGATGTCATCATTAAAATAATATAAATAACATGTCATCGCGATTGGTTGCGATCACATAATATCCATCTTAAAAAAATAATTTGAGTTAATAATCTTTCTGTGTAGATATGAGTTGTAGTTGACTATAATATGTTGTAACTATAATAACAACATATGCAATAATAATAACAACAACAACAACAACAATAACAAAACAATACGAGTATACATGTCAAAATAAAACTTGGATTAATAAATATGAAAAGCATTTAATACTAACAGGTAGTAGAAATAGTAGTAGTACCAGCAATAGTAGTATATGTAGCAACAACAGTAATAATTGTAGCAACTGTGTTGTAATAACAAGTAGTAGTAGTATTAGTAGCTATAGAAATAGTAGGAATAATAATGATAGGATGAATAGGAGATTACTACAGGGCTAAATTTTAGAGAGAGAGAGAGAGTGCTTCATTGAGTTCTATTTGTGCTATGTTGAATTAAATGACACTGATCAAACTGAGGAAAAAGAAGGAGCATCCAATTCTAAGTCTTCTACTGTAGTGCAACATTAGATTGCTTTAAAATCCATTGCCATTTTAATAACACCAATGGTGTGTTGACCTAATGTGTGGTTCCCTTTTATGTTCTTGGGTTTTTGGTTGGTGTGTTTAATGACTTGGTTGAGACCATTGGAACCAATCCAATGGGATAGGGATGGCCATCATGTTATTGGACATCAGGAATCCTCTCCTTTTAATTGTTCCATTTCAGTCTTTTTCATCCATTTAATTGGGCAGGCAACAGTCACATGTGGAAGTTCAATTATGAATCTTTAGGTATTTAGCTTATTTAGTTATCTATTATTCAAATATGATTAATAAAATAAGGATTCGAGATGAGTTCAATTATGTGATAGCCAATCGTATTTGGATTAGCTACGATTAAAGCTTTAATCATCAAAAACTATTTTTCGGATTTTGGTTGATTGAGTTTATTTTCATTTCAAGAATGTCGGATACTTTTACTTGCGTGAGTTTTTTTCTTTATTATTTTTATGAAACCAAAATAATTAATTTATTATTATTATTTTTCTTTGATTAATGATTGATCAATCGGTGAGAACGAATGTTCGATATTTTTATATATTATATTAACATATATATAATATTTTAAAATATACTTTTTTTAAGTAATAAAAGGAAGATGATAGAGATGACGATAAAAGATTAACCACATTTATTTTTTTTTAAATAAAAGTGTTACATATGTATATCAATTCTTTTGATACTCGAGCGGTTTAATTAGTGAATCAAATTAGTTCTTAATTTTTTTCCGATCCAAATTGCATTTAAAACTAGTGTTTTATAATGCTTAACAATCCTCCAAAAGCCTTCAATTTGCTCATTAATTGGGTTTCTCTCCCATAATCTCAGAGTTTGATGAACATGTTCTAAGTTTTGACATTTAAAGAACATTTGTGATGACATCTTAGTCATCCATTGGAATTGCATACAAGTTAGCTAATTTCTCTAGTTTGAATGCATCTAATACTTTTTTTTAATTACTTTGAAATATTAACTTAAACATTATGATTAGATATGAGCTTACCACATATGAAGGGTTATTAATATGTAAGTTGTTGGCACCATTCCTAGTGGAGTAGGATTTGATTTGATGAGACATTATATATATCAAGGTTTATCTTTCATTTGATTAGTAGGTAAAATGAGGTGTCTCTTATTCTGTATCTCTCTTCTCATCTTCTATGGTTTTCTTTGGTTTTTTTTGGATCCTTTTAAGAGTTATTACATCACTTAGAACTCCTAAAATATTGTATCAAAGTGTCATTTTCTTTCCTTGATAAATATGCCATCTAATCCATTTTCTTTTGTGGTCCATTTCAAGTCATTTATAGTGTTCTATGATTGATGCATTTGCCACTGTTCCAATCTTTTTTGGTACACCGCAGTAGCTGTGCTTCCTCGTCTCCTTCAAAGCATCTGCTGTTGCAGTTGCAGCTGCCGGAGTCTTGAGGGTGTCCTGCATCCAACGAAGCAAGCTTTAAACACACCATTAAGCGTACGAATCCAAAGGTCTCTCTCTCTCTCTCTCTCAACCGTCTCCTCAGGTGGATCAAAGAGAGAGAGAGAGAGCGAGAGCGAGAGAGAGAGTTCATGGATGGATTGTCATTGATGAGCACTGGAAATTTATAGCAGCATTTCTTTAGAAATGATAGAAGCCACCATTGCTCCTCATGTAGTTTATAAATCATTAATAATTTTAAGATAATATTCGATTTGATTAACACTAAAATCAAGGCTCAGTATGATATGGTACCGGTGTACCGGGCGGTACATCAGGGCGTACCGAGCGGTACACCCTGGTGTACTGAATAATTTTTTATTTTTTTCATACTATAATAATGCTACAGAATAGTACTGTAGCACTGTAGCGGTACTGGGTGGTCACGTACCGGTAACCTGTCGGACCGGTACATATTGCCCGGTACGGGACGGTACGCTTCGATACGATAAACCTTGACTAAAATATTAAAAAAGATCGATAAGTCAATACTATTGGATGTCAACAGACAAAAAAAAATCAAGTATGAAAAAACTTCTTTGTCAAAGAACATAAATCTTAAAAAGAATACGAGAAAATATTTTAGATTTTTTTTTACTAGACGTAGAGAATATTAAAAAATAATAATTTTTTAAAGATCTATACGAGGCGTTATGTTATTAATTTTACATATTTAAAATTTTAATTTTCTACATGTAACATATATAATGAGTGTTGATTGTGTGAATTTTGCATCGAATTTGTAATTTGATTATTGATCTCCGAATCTCTTTTTTTTCTTCAAATAGATTTATCGTTTAAATTATACAAAATATTTTTAAATATATAAATCCTATATTCAGGTTTTTTCTTAAGAAAATGTAAAATGGATTAATTTGTGCTTACTCATATAACTATTTGGGCACTAATTAATTTTTCTGCTGATAATTCCGGAGCTTAAGATTGATTAAGACCTTAATTTTCCTCGATTGATCATTAACTCTTTTGTAATAATCTACTAAATTGCATGATTCGATCATAAGGATGATTTGAAGAGACTATAATATGTTTTCCTTCTCCATATGGTTCGATCAAATTAGATGGACGATTGAGATGAGGGGAGGAGATCAGACGGCTGATACGTCATATGATCAGCCACGTCATTCATCCAACCGTTACGTGGAGAGTGATCGGGAAATCTACGTGGCGTTCGTTTTCTTCGTGTCTTACCGCGATCCGATTGCACGGGACTAAGGCTGAGCCATGTCTCCTCGAGCTGCCTCGTGATTCGCGCATAAGCCACCTGTATCCCCGAGCGGACCGTCTGATTCCCTCGAGCTAACGGCCTCCTGGCCCGGCAAGACGCGACTACGAACGCGAGAAAAGATGCGGCGAGTTCTGCGGCCCCCATGCCAGCCACATCGAAATATGACCGTTGATCCAAGCTCACCCACATCGCGATCGTCAAGTTGGCTCTTTCTCGGACAAAATAACGAGCGTGCCACTCCAGCAACGCTTCTTGTGACGAGTCCCCAATATTCCAACATGTTCTGATGAACGGCTATCTGCCGTTGGATCAGTGACGTAGGGCGCACGATCGAGGTGATAGAGAGGACAAACTCGACTATAAAAGGCGTTCCCCTTTTCGATGTTCCCCCATTTCGTCGCTTCTTGGACGCCGCTGCCAATTCTCTCCTGAGAGAGAGAGAGGGGGGCCGACGGCGTTGCGTCTTCTCCTTCCTCTCCTGGTTGTATCGGCGATCTATGCCGACGAAGGTGGGTTAGACTCTATCATAAATGGTGAGGATCTCTGTTTCTGGCGTCACGATCGGGGTATTATCCCATGCTTCCGCTCTCCATCGGAGGATTAACATCGAAGGTGAGACTCCTTCGATGACTATTCTAGGTGGTAGAGAGTGCTTGTTGCTACCTAGGTAGCAGAAGACCCTTGTTATGGTGTTTTCGCCCTAACCGTATGTAGCTTGGGAAGATCGGCATATTCACTGTTAATATTTGATGCTAAGATGACGCATGGGCGAACCTGTTTGACTAATCGGAATCCATGTTTCATGGTGAGATTGATGGAAAATATTCATCAAGTAGGCATCGTAAAATCCTGCAAAATTTGAAATGGTGTGATTGTATTTGCTTGCCCTATGATTCTTCTATTCATTGCTTAACTGCTCCTATTTTGGATGTTTATGTTGATCCTTAATGTTAATGCTTGGTCTTTTCATGTTCGTCTGGAAACATAAATTAGGATTTGCTGCTTGAATTATTGCCTAGATCAGATTAAGAGTGATGCTCAAGATAATAGCATTCATTCATCAGACTTTGAGCATTTTGAGAAGGTTGGCCATTGGATACATATTGTAGTGACTATCTCACAAAATGTTAAATGATTTGCGTTGTATTTGCCTACAGGAAATATGTTCTACAATGTTTCTGTTCTACAAAAGTTAAGTGAACTTCGGTAATTTTGATAACTCAAGTCGGTTCAGCTGATAAAGACTTTGATTGCCCATAGCAAAGTCTTGGGATCAAATGTTGTCCTTACCACTTATCCTTTGTAATAAAAAATAACTCTAGTCTAATTGGTAATTGATAGCAATATTTTGGAATCAAATCTCATCTTAACTACTTACCCTTGGGAAAAAAAAAATCTTCGGTTACTTGACATCGGCCTTAAATTAGTGAACTTGTGTAACCAAAATTTTGAACACCTGAAGTCTAGTTTTGGTAGATATGGTCAGATCGAATTGCGATGGTGGTTTAGGTTCCTAAGTATTCAATTCCTGGGGTACAGAGCACTATACCGAACTCCAATGCTAGCGGTTGCTAGTAAAAGATGATAGATAAGTAGAAACCCCTTTCGTTATTTCTACAACAAATTCAAAGGCTCTAGACATTCTTAGGTTTGAGCCTGACCGACCAAGCAGATTTGTTGCTGGAAGAAAAAGAAGGAATATAGTGTGACACATATAGATTCTAGTAACAAAATCCCAATCTCTTTGTTTGAAGCTTTGCCAGGAAGCTTATACTTGCTTAGAATGTGTGCACTACTTGAAACTGAGAGAACTCTCAGAAGAAGGAAGAAACATGCAAGGGAATAAACGCAGCGAGAGTAGAGGATTGATTTGAGGCATCTCTTTCACTTTGTTGGTTGCTAATCGCATTCTTGTACTTGTGGTTACACTTGGTAATCTCTTGGTATTTTCTTTTCTGCAGGTCATGGTTCTTGTTTCTTCTCTGGAAGAGATGTCTTCTTCTTGAGATTCCTTTTGCATTCGGGTGACGTTCGGTAATGACTATTGCTTTTCAAGCTTGTTTTCTCTCAGTTTCATATAATTCTTAACAGAAATGTTCCAGAGATGATGAGCTTTGGTCATCACATACCTCATTTTTATCAACCATATGCATGTATAAAATTTTGCAGTGTTGTTGAATTTCTTAGTAGACTAGTTTGGCCATTATGCTTAGTCTAAAAATGTTCCAGAGATGAGCTTTGGCAATTATTCTGGATTATTTCTTCATGTTGAGGTTCTGCACCTCGATCTTTCTTTTCGACAAAAGATCTTATCTTAGGTCTAATTATATCATAGTTTATACATTTATGCCTTAATAATTAGGTATAATGTAGATATATATTGATTTAGTAGGCACAATTTAGATACATATGTTGGTCAAATTGTTTCACGAAGTCTGATGTATGTGGTTGTATTGGATGTTCAGTTTGTGGCCAATTGAGATGGGCCGAACCGAGATCCGGTCGGAGTTAGAAAAATCTGAACCGGTTCGAAGTCAACCAGTCCAGTCGTACATGGTTTACCTTCTAGAAAAGTCAGCAATTTCTCGTTTGTGTTGGTTTTGCGCTTCTTTCAAATCGTTTACTGCTGTTCCACGAAATCACAAACTACCTGGAATATAGACCTGGCACTTTACCTACCCTTTTATTGGAGGCGTCGCCGGTCCCACAGGTCCGTCACTGTGCAGGTAGGCCATGGGAAAACGACACGGGTGAGGAACGAGTATTATTTGGTTGGTCTATTTATTTGATGTGTTTGTTTCCGTTCCAGAAGTGGAAACACCAGAAGCTTCTCCTCGGTTCAAATCCACGCGCTCCGTCTAAGCAGGTGACGTCCTCGACTGTCTCTCTCGATCTCTGATATTTGTTTCCTTTCCCTCCAAGGCTGCTGCAACGCGATCACACAAGCCGAGAAGACCAAGAGACAACGACGGTAACTAAACCCTTCTCTCTCTGTATCTCTCTCGGCGATGGTCGTGTCTTGTGGCATCGAGTGCGTGTTCTGCCTGGGGTGCACGCGGTGGGCCTGCCGCCGCTGCGGGTACGTCGGCGCCGACGACAGCGCCGCCTGGGCGCCCGCCACGCCCGATGAGTTCGCCCCCGTTCCCCGCGCCTGCCGCGCCGTCCTTGCGGCCTACGAAGACGACCTCGCCCGCCCCCGCTGGGCCCCCGCTCGCCCCGGCGGGTATCGGATGGATCCCGCCGCCGTCGTCAAACGCGCCTCCTACGCCGACACCCGCGGCCGCTGCCCGCCCTACCTCCTCTACGTCGACCGCGCCGCCCGCGAAGTCGTCCTTGCCGTCCGTGGCCTCAACCTTGGCCACGACGCCGACTACCGCCTCCTGCTCGACAACCCTCCCGGTTCCCAGCCCTTCGATGGCGGCTACGTCCACCTCGGCCTGCTCAAGGCCGCCGCCTGGCTGCTCAACCGCGAGGCCGACACCCTGTGCCACCTCCTTAGGGATTGCGGGCCCGAGTATGGCCTCGTGCTGGTCGGCCACTCGCTCGGCGCCGGCGTGGCGGCCCTCATGGCCATGCTGGTGGTGAACCAACTCGACCGGTTCGGGGAGATCCCAAGGAGCCGCGTCCGATGCTACGCCATCTCGCCGGCCAGGTGCATGTCGCTGAATCTTGCGGTGAAGTACGCTGACGTGATCCACTCCGTGGTGTTGCAGGCAAGTCAAGCATCTCTTGTTTCCTCTGGTCGAACTGGCTTGTTCTTGAAGTAATTTGAATTTGTTCTCTGGTAATAGGATTCGAACGAGTCGATTTATTAGACTACTAAAGTTTTAGTTGACCCCTAAATTCCTATATTCTATACTTCAGCAGCATAGAAACTATTGAATAGTAGACAGTGTTAACTTGTTTGATTCTCTTTATACTAGTATTTACCGCCACCTGAACAATGAATTTGATACATATCACCAACACAAAATCACATTGTATCTTGGATTTTTCTGTTTTTCATCTTCCTGACAAAATCAAATTGTGACCTTTGATGGGAGGTATTCATTCTGATGCATTTTTGGTTGGCAAATTCGGTTTGTTGATTGCTCTTTAAGGGATAGAGTTCAGTATTAATTGGGTCCTTTCGTAACAGCTTCAGAGATTGCTAGTCACCAACACCAAATCCTTTTCCGGGTATGAAATTTATTTATTTTTTACCCTTATTGATCGTGTAGTCATCTTCCTCCTAAGTTGAGGAGATTGTGAATTGGAAGTCATATATAGAAGTAGCCATTGCTTCTGTCTTACGTGCTTGCTTAATTATTTATACATAAGTTGGTGGTACAGCTACATTGATTTTCATTTGTTTGACTATTTTTCATGGCTGAGATATTAATTGGTTTGTAATAGAGTGTAGCTATAGGAGACACTATTCTTGCTGTGTTTTTGTATTTTAGTATAACCTTCCTTCTTTAAGTTGTTATTGAAACCTCAAACCTTGCGATTCCAGGATGATTTCCTTCCAAGAACGCCAACACCTTTGCAACATATTTTTGGATCTGTTTTCTGGTAAGCACTACTCTTCTAATTGTATTGATTTTCCCCTTTGTTTCCATCTTTTTCCATAAGGGGAATTTTGTTGTGGAATGAATATATTATGCATGCAGAAATACTTCTGATCCATAATTTACTGCTTTTGTGCAGTCTGCCATGTTTGTTATTTTTGGTTTGCATGAGAGATACATTTATATCTGAAGATAGAAAGCTTAAGGATCCAAAAAGGCTCTACGCCCCCGGTCGGATGTATCATATTGTGGAGAGAAAATTTTGCAGGTATCAAGTCCTTAACATCACTGTCATGTTTCTATAAGGTATTCTCCCCCTTTTTTTTATAGGTTTTAATGTCTGTACATCCACTTTGTCAAACCTCTTTTATCTGGTCAAACTACACTGTGACATCCTCTCACTAATTGTTATGAAAAATCACATTGCGGGTGTTTGAAGTGGCGGTGTGTGAAGCACTTTCTGATGCAATATTCATCAAAATTTAGTATGGGAATATCCTTATTAGCACCACTTGAACTTTAGAAGTGGAATAGTATAGTCGATTATTATCAACTTATATCTTACTTAACCATGATAAACATTACTTTCTTCATCTAGTAGGTTACGAACTAGGAAAAACCATTGTTTTTAATGCTGTTTATGAAGCACTCCTGCTTAAATTATGTACCTTAATATTAAGATTCTAATTCCTTCAAGAAATTCAAAAGTTTTATAAGGTTCTTTTTCTTAGAGAGGTAATATGGTTTTATAAATTTAAATCCTAAACTTTTTGTGTTCTTAGCTTTTTCTTAAATCACCTTGCCACTTAAGTGATGTTGCTGTCAAGTATATCATAGAAGCATCACAAAATTTTGTTTTTCAGGACTTGCATCTGAAGAAATACACTGTAATGCTGTTGAGAATTTCCAATGTTCGATTTGTAAATGATTTTTCTGTAAAATCATTAATACTTGTGGTTATTGAAATCTGGCCTTGAATAATTTGGTATCATTGCGATTAATATAGATGTGGCAGACTCCCTCCTGAGGTGAGAACAGCCGTTCCTGTCGAAGGAAGATTCGAGCATATAATACTATCATGCAATGCTATGTTCGATCATGGAATCATTTGGACGGAGCGAGAAGCTCAGAAAGCTTTAGAAGTAAGCTAAAACCATCTCCTTTTTTACTTGTTACTGGATGCTTATTACTTCCAGTCGTGATCATATACTCACAGCATTTGATGAAAATAAATCCACTTGCCTTTGTCCTAGAAGTTGAGGCTGTGCTGTGACTGCTGCTTCTCAAAGCATTCTAATTCTTTTTGTAGCTGCCAAGAACATATTGCCCGAGAAACATAAGATATGGCTCAAAAGTGGTGATTATTTTCTTGTTTTTCCATTTTCTCAGATAATGCTTAAAGGAAATGTCATGACAACCCCTCCGTCGAGGCAACAGATGGAGGGAAGGGGGTCTCTTCAGGAAGAACACAATGAGGCACTGGAAAGAGCTTTGAGCTTGCACCTGCCTCACCCTGCCTCACAACACAGCTTACCCTTCCAAGACCAGGCAGCATCAACGTGTGAGCACTATGACAACATGTCCTCATGTAGTGATGATTCGGCATCGAGTAGGACAATGAATTGGGATGAGCTGGTGGAGAAGCTCTTTGATGGGAATGAACCACAAGGCATGGTCTCAGATGAAGATGACAACAGCCTTGGCTCCAGTGTGAAGATGTCTCTTCCTGTTAGATGACTCTTCAACCTTAATACTGATGGATGTTCTCAAGTTTGTATATTTCATCATTCTTTTGTACAGTTGGAAATTGTGATTCTTTTTATAGACGGATGATATTAGTTTCACAATTTTGCGTGGTTGAAGGAAGATCCAAAGGAAAAGATGTAATCGACTCAATCCCCCCCCGGTTTTAGATATCTGTTGCTTACTCGCTTTTTTTCTGGGTGAGAACAAGGTAATCATGCATACGCGTGAATTGTACAGTGCCGAGGTGGCGGAATCTGGACCGTCCATCGTAACCCGATGTACATCTCCATCCAACCGTTATGGAGAGGTCCAGATGCTTCCAGAAGTCGGACACGAGAGCCGTTGGACCAGCCGAGTAAGGGCCGGTCTTTGGGCCCAACTCCAGTCTACATCGCGGCCTCGAACGCCGTCAACGCCCGGCCGCCAAAGTGAGACCGCGATGCCGCTGCCGTATCCGCACGCCTTTCCTTCTCTCCAAAGTCGAGACGGGGAATACAGTAAAGTAATGCAAGTCAAAATACGCGTCCTTGAAATCTCAACGGCCACCAACTTCTCCTATCAACCAGGTATCTGCCTCGACCAATTGAATTGCCGGTTCAAACGGTAGACGAATCACCGTCATCGATGGTTCCATGGAACGATTCATATTTTATATGAGCTAAAAGTGAAGCAAAACAGGAAATAGATAAGCTCGACCGCCTGCGTGAGACCTCCTCTCCACTCCTCTCCTCTCCTCTTTTCTCTTATGCGTTAAGAACTAAGCTTCTCTTAATTTAGGCAACACGTTAACGTGGGACGTGCTATTATTTCCCCTCCCCTTTCCGCGTCCAAATATAAAGCAGAAATCAATGGATTAGGGTTTCATAGCACACTGCAGGAGGAAGCGGGATATAGTGGCGGGGTACAGTGAGTCCCGTCACCATCTTCATGGCTTCACTGCCCTCCTACCTCGGCTTCTCTGGCGTTATGGCGCTTTTGCTTCTTGTGTCGTCGGTACCCGGCGGTGCGCCGGATCTGGCGGCGGACGCCGCCGCGCTGCTCGCCCTCCGTGCCGCAGTGGGCCGTTTGGTGCTGCCGTGGAACGCGTCGGGCTCACCGTGCTCGTGGCAGGGCGTAGTGTGCGGGTCGGGCCGCGTGACGGCGCTCCGCCTCCCCGGCGTCGGACTCATCGGCTCCATCCCCGCCGCTACTGTCGGAAACCTCTCCGCCCTCCGCGTCCTCAGCCTCCGCTACAACGCCCTCTCCGGCGACCTCCCTCCCGACCTCTCCGCCGACTCCGAGCTCCGCAACCTTTACCTCCAGGAGAACCGCTTCTCCGGCGAGATCCCGCCTGCCCTCGGCTCCCTCAAGAATCTCGTCCGCCTCAACCTCGCCGGGAACCAGTTCTCCGGCGGGATCCCGCCGGAGCTCAACAACCTCACCCGGCTCCGCATACTCTACCTGGAGAGAAACCGGCTCGTCGGGGAAATCCCCCGCTTCGACCTCCGCAACCTCGCTCAGTTCAATGTGTCGTTCAACCAGCTCAACGGGTCGATCCCATCCAGGCTTCGGGGGTTTCCGGCGAGCGCGTTCTTGGACACGGCCCTCTGCGGCCGGCCGCGCGGCCCGTGCCCCGGCGAGATCGCGCCGTCTCCAGCAGCGCAGGGGCCGGCGGGAGGAAATTCCGGCGGCGGAGCCGGGAGCGACAAAAAGAATCTCTCCGGTGGGGCCATCGCCGGGATCGCCGTCGGGTCCGCTGCCTTCGTCCTGATCCTGCTGATTCTGTCCATACTCCTCTGCCGAAGGTGCGGGAAGAGCAAGACGAGGTCGCTAGTGGCGGTGGAAGCGAGAGGAAACGAGCCGGAGCCCGTAGCGGCGGCGGCTGAACGGGAGAAGGGATCTGGGGAAGGAGGGAGCGGGAACGGCCAGCCGGCGAAGCCTGCGGCTGGGGAGAAGAAGCTGGTGTTCTTCGTGGGCAGCGGGGCGCCGCGGTTCGACCTGGAGGACCTGCTGCGCGCGTCGGCGGAGGTGCTGGGGAAGGGGACGTTCGGGACGGCGTACAAGGCCGTGCTGGAGATGGGCACGACGGTGGCGGTGAAGAGGCTGAGAGACGTGGCCTTCACGGAGACCGAGTTCCGGGAGAAGGTGGAGCTCATCGGGGCGATGAACCACCCCAATCTGGTGCCGCTGCGGGCGTACTACTACAGCAAGGACGAGAAGCTCCTGGTGTACGACTACCTCCCCTTGGGAAGCCTCTCCGCCCTCTTACATGGTAATCCACGGCTTCCTCCATGGCTTCCTCCTCCTACCTTCTCTCATCCCTTCCATTTGAATGGACTGCACAGGGAACAGGGGATCCACGAGAACGCCGCTCGACTGGGAGACGAGAACGGGCATCGCGCTCGCAGCGGCGCGCGGCATCGAGTACATCCACTCGACGTCGCCCTCGGCCGCGCACGGCAACATCAAGTCCTCCAACATCCTGCTCGCCGCCACGCGCGAGGCCCGCGTGTCCGACCACGGCCTCGCCCTCCTCGCCGGGCCGCAGTCCTCCCCCGCACGCGCCGCAGGCTACCGCGCCCCGGAGGTCACCGACACCCGCAGGGTCTCCCAGAAGGCCGACGTGTACAGCTTCGGCGTGCTCCTGCTGGAGCTGCTCACTGGCAAGTCACCAGGACAAGCCCTCTCCAACGACGACGACGGCGGCGGCGTCGACCTGCCGAGGTGGGTGCAGTCGGTCGTTCAAGAGGAGTGGACGGCGGAGGTGTTTGATGTGGAGCTGCTGAGGCAGCAAGACGCAGAGGAGGAGATGGTGCGGCTTCTGCAGCTCGCTGTCGACTGCGCAGCTCAGTACCCGGACAAGCGACCTTCCATGGCCGAGGTTGTCGCCCGGATACAGGAAATCCGGAGCTCGAGCAACAGTGGCGACGGGATCGAAGAGGGTGATGAGCATTCGTCGAGGACGGATGCCATTGCCGAATCTTAGGCTTTCTTAATTTCTTGTGATCGAGCACACTCTGTTATTGCTGTTCTGATTAGATTATGGATTGTGCTGTGAAATGTGTGGATATATTTGGTGCTGATGCTGTAGGAATTATCATTCATACAATTATTTTTGTTTGCATTCGGTTGTGCTGTGTTTGGTCAACTAACAATCTTTTTCTAGATTTGTGATAGGAAATATTTTGACAAACAATAGTCCAGACTGATCTAGAAAGAGATCGTGCCTGTCCCCTCTTATCGACCTTCGTACATAATAATTCATGAGAATAAAAGTCGATTCTCGACGGCAATCCTAGGAAACCTTTAAAAAAAAAAATAAACAAACAAGCCTCACACCTCATACTATCTCCTGAACTAAATTTTGTCGAAAAGCTCCTCTCGACATTGACCTTTGTGCAAGAATCCATCGAGAAGTCAAATTCCATCTCAACCCGACCTCCAAACTACTTTGGAGGGGTCGGGAATACGTGAAGATCACCTCGGAGCCACCTCAGCTACGTTAAGGTCGTCATGAGGGTTCCTCGAACATTTCCATGCCTTCAGGTTAAGACCAAGCCGGGCTGACTCAACCATCGACAACATATTCCCTCACATTTTGACATTAGAAGGAGGGTCCTAAATGTCACAAGAATGTCAACTCATGAATCCTCTCAACGTGCGCTCCAATGAGGAAGCTCCACCCCTTAACTCATAGTATCTTCACACAACGCAAGCAGTTACCCTCCTTTCCCTAGGTGGATGCATCTACCTCCCCTCAAATACTAGGGCATTACTGGCATATGTTCAATGACCCATGACTTTCATCGCTGGGGATGAGTGCGAGGTACTTGGTTATCCCCACCGAAGCATTCTTGAGCCTCACATATCAAATGTAAGCGCTTATAGGCATGATGAAGGTAATCACCTCACTCCTGCCCCAACTAATTGAACAAACCATACTGTCGTTACAATCACGATAGATGTCTCAATCGTCATTGCACTAACACTCACTGAGATTTCCCCAGTCGATCTAGCCCCGGCAGCTCAGGATTGTCCCTAACCCATTGAACTATCAGCAAAAGGGGCACCCCACTCTCCGATTGTAGAATTCAATGCATCGTCACATTGGGGTCTGGCTTGGCCCTACTCAAATAGGAGACATAGTCGATAAATTTAATGTATAACTCCCTAAGGGCCCAATTGTGGCAAATGGACAAACATCTAGATTAGGTGTGTTAGGAGTTCCAACAGTCCAAAAAGAAAGTTTCGGACAAACCTAACTCAGGCTGCTCCCCATTTGTCTAGAGCATCCAAAAAGAAAGTTTCGGATAAACTTTCGCCTCCCGTCGCTAGAAGCCTTCAACGGTAACTCTAAATCAATAGAACACACCCTCGCCTTTCATGTTCAGATGTCTTTATATGGTACCTCAGATGCTTTAATATATCACACATTCACAACGACATTGAGGGGCTTAGTGTGGGAGTGGTGCAGTCGCATAAACCCACTCTTGATCTATTCCTTCACTTAACTTGCGAAAAAATTTGAGCTCCACTTCCTTGGGAACATACGCCCAAGATTATCTATGGCAATGCTGCTTAAACTGAGATAGAGGGAGGATGAAACCATCTTCGACTTTATCGCATGGTTCATCAACAAAATCTAGGGTGTGCAAGAAGCCCACCACTCCATCGTGATATAAGCTTTTATGATGAGCCTCAGGCCCACTTGCTTCTTTTGGCCATTAGAAGAGAGACCACCGACGATAATACCTAAAGTTCTCTAGAGGACTAATCAATATATAGTAGCGAAAGCAATGACCTCAAGTAAACACGATGAAACGATCTTCATCTCAGGAACGATCTTCCACCAACCTCAAGCTCACTACGACGAAGGAAGCAATGATTGGACTTTTTTTCTAACTTTCACTTCATCTCCTGTTTCACTTTCTCTCTCTCTCTCTCTCTCTCTCTCTCTCTCTCTCTATATATATATATATATATAT